GACAGCTCCGCTCATCCCTATAGGGTCTTCGCCAGGGTGACGTATCGATGGGAGGGAAAAGATAGGGATGGAAGCATCTCTCTCAGACAGCAGAACCACCGGTTCCACGAAAGGAGAAGACTCATCTACGAGCCTTGCATTAGACCGATGACCAAGCCGAGTAACTGTCGACTCCCCCACAGCCGACGAAGACTCCCTAACAAATTTGACCAAGGACTCCCTCCCGATCCTGGTCTGACCCCTGATTAAGGAAGCAATCTTAAACACTCTAGGCATCAAGCTGGCCATCTCTTTAGCGTTGAGGCCTTCCCTCAACCTCTTCAAGGGCCTCCTAGAGGGACCCGTCTCCTCGTCTTCAGCCCTCTTTTTACGGACCACCATTGATGGAGGAAGGACTCTCGTCACAAGATCAGTGGAGACCGTCAAGAGACCCCTCGCCCTGGGGAATACTTGTTCAAATAGAGCGTTGTGCTCACAAGGCCCGGCATGAGAGCGGATCATCTCGAGATCCCTCGCCTCAAGTTCACTAAGGACCTTCGGCCTCAGTACATCCTCATTCACATCCGGCCAATTAGAGCAGGAGAATACACGATCAGCGCCATAGACCCACACAAAGAACCTCCTCCAGTCCTCATCTAACTCTTGAAAATTGACGACAAACTTGAAGTTACCCATGTAGCAAAAAAAGTAATGTGGGTCACCCTCAGCTGACCCCACGCTCACGAAATGCCCAAGCAACCTTATACTGGGCTTGACCCCCATGATATGGCAAGCATCAATGAATGCCACCAAGACTCCCATTGCATGTGGGTGGAACTGAGAAGGGAAAACCCCCAGAGCGGCATGCACCTCTTTAATAAAAGGGTGCAGAGGCAGCCGCAACCCACACCTCAGATGTGCCACAAACAGAGGCACATGATCCTCATTGTGGACATGCACTGGCGTAACACATGTCGGCGCCCCCAGAGTCAGGGTGCGTGGAATATTGTATAGGTCATACAATGTCGCCACTTCATCCATTATCACCCTCGAATGAAACATCTAAAGAGCGGCGAGCCTCTTCTTATGATCGTCAGAAGCAGAAGTTAGGAGAGCCATGGGAGATTGCTAAAATAGAAGATGAAATTCTCAATGGCATAGAGTTTCTTGGGAGAAATTATCTCTGCCCCAAGAAAAGTTATTTATAGAGATCCTACAAAGATCAAAGAAGGATGCGAAGAGATGTTGCAGTCTTCGAAGCAACCAAATAAGATCCACCTCGGAATCCAAAACGGTTCGCTCGAAGAATGAAGCGCCGCCCTCATTTATTACCCCACATCCTAATGCCACGGGAGCGAGACGCCCTACACTATTCCTGACACTTCGATTCCTTAATCGACGGTTTAGATCCCCAAGAACACGAAACAATGAGTGTAGAATCACGTCAGAAGAAGGACGTTACCATGACATCAGCAATAACCCAGGCAGCAGAGGCCCAACAAATCTCTTAAGTCAGAAACAGATTGACACATCTTTTTATTTCACTCGGACCCGACTGAAACTTGACTCCAAGCGAAAAGGGCCAACTGTTATAGTGTCAATCGCTTAAGATACAGTCTTAGCAAAATCATGATAAGTGCCGACAGCCAGGTCCCTTCCAAGTTTAGCGGCCCAGGCCCAAGAGGCTGACTCCGCTGACTCGCCGAATTCTCGGTGACTCACGGGACGGGACCAGTCGAACAAAGACAAGCAAGGCTGACTCCACTGAGGAGCCTACCAGGAGCGACTCCGGGTCCGACACCTCCTTGCTCAAAGGATAAGATCAGACCAGAACCTCTTCGGATATGTATCAGCATGGTGATCCAAGCTGATACGTCCCATCGCCACTCCTTTAGTTGCCCTGTGGCCTGACTCAGCACGTGGGCCATGACTAGTCACTTCCCAGAAATTACGGAGGCCCACCTCCCTATGGCTGGAAT